ATATGTCGCCTGCAATATTCAAATCAAATTCAATTGTTGTGTTAAAAGAATCTGTTATTTGTAATATATTTCAGAGTACACTATAGATGGAAAAACAGGTATTTGAATAGGTTTAGGCATTTTTTTCTATTTTTCCTACAGTATGTTACCATTAAAATAATGTATAATAATTTTATGAACTATAATTACCTCACCTAACTAAACCTCTAAAAAATCTCTTATGGTAGCTGCCTTTTCCTTTCCAGGTACAGATCTCGTTACTAGACAATACCAAATTGTCAATTATTGTGAACATATTTTTTTTTTGAATTGTCTTACGACCATTAAGATGTCACTTTTGCTATTTCTGGATTATTTATATTTTAATCCCACCACCCGGGTATCTCTGCCCAGGTAAACTTTAGCGAAAAATGTTTCAGACAAAAGTTACTGGACTCGGAGAGGGACATGTTATAGTCACATTGCCTAAGACCTTGAGGGTCATTTTCAAGGTAATTTCAAGGTGAACTTTTTTTTAAGTATGAACCCATATTTTTGACCCCGGATTTGGAAAGAGCAGGACATTCTACGTTCAGATGATGTATGTGGGGTCGGTTGACCACCCAAGGGCATGTAAAGGTCAATTTTTTTTGTAATTAATTGGTATCAATTGTAATATAAATATAATTTTCTAGAACCGATCTTTGAATTTGTCATTTACAGTTTCGTACATTTAGCAAACATTTGTATGATCATAATAAATATTATTAAATGTAGAAGTTTTCGCTCTACTCGAATTCGAGGTCAAAACTAGGTGTTTCCTCCAAAAAACTAAAGTTGACCTTGAAATGACTTTGAAAATCACGACCAAGATCAGAACGAAGGTCACCATAACATGTCCCCTCGGAGTCGAGCAACTTTTATTTGAAACATTTTTTGTTAAACCTTACCTTTGGAGGGACATTTGGGGGAAAAAATAAAATTGACCATTACATGACCTTGGGTGATCAACCGACCCCACATATGATACATCTTTTGAACGTGGAGTTTCCCGCTCTTTCCGAATCCTGGATGAAAAATAGGGGTTCCTATTTAAAAAACCAACGTTGACCTTGACAATGACCCTCAAGGTCATAGGCAATGTCACTATAACATGTCCACCTCCGAGTCCGGTAACTTTTGACTGAAACATTTTTCGCTAAACTTTACCTGGGCAGAGATATTCGGGTGGAGGGATTAAAATGGCCTACCCTGTATGTAAACACTAGTTATGTTGAAACAAAAAATACATCTGGATAATTTACATCAAATAGTTCATAAAATTATTTCACTAGGCTCTCTATAAGTAAACTACGTGAATAATATAGTCAAACCTACGCTAGAACTAATGTTATGTACAATATATTTTATAATATCTCAAATCCTAGATGCAATGCAAGTTTCAAATGGTAATAAAAAAAATCTAAAAAGGAAAATATATTTTATACATCTAATAGCACTTATACAACAATTACTCGAACATAGAAGATTGTCTTTCAGTTAAAAATTTTAAATTCGTTGCGAAGATACAGGAATTAATTTAACGACAAGAACATTTAAAATTTTTCTAAAACATATTGTGAAAGTATTTGTCAAATGTGTGGATATCCAAAACTTCTCTAATAATTTTTCTGTTAATTTCAAATAAGTCGATGACATTTTTAATTAATAGAGTTTAGTCTCTACTTATACTTTTTGTTTTTCCGTATGCGTTTAGAAAAATTTTAAACTACACATTGCTTCGTGTACTTTACAGCATTACAGTGTGTCAATATCTAAAAAAAAATGTTGGAAAAATAATGTCAGTATAAAACAGAAACTTTATGTTTTTTGCGAAGTGTATTATGTAATAAATAATTTTGCAGTTCAGATATTTCAATGAGTATAAAAGTTACTTACACTGAAAAAGGTAATTTCTCAAGGTTGTTAAATTCTTCTTTATTTGTACGCAATTGGGTTGAAATTTGATTTAGCGTATTTACGTTAAACTACCAGAAATAGACCAAAATTATATCAATTTCCATACTGTAGTAGGAAATTCTGGCCTATTATTTAATTTAATTTTCACAATTTTTTCTCTATTCTTTTACGTCTACAATTGACCCGTTTCATATGGACACATCCTTGTAAAAAATATATTTTTTCGTCTGGCATATGTGAAAATGAATTATATTGAACCTAAAAATATGACAGAAAGTAATATTTATCGACCTATTTGGGCCGCTAAACCTATAACAACTCGTAGTTTTTTACAATCTGGACACCTTTGTTTGTCATTTGCGTACTTTGATGTTTTATATAATTTTTCATTAAATATCAATTTAAACCAAAATTTGGAAGCAAAACAAACAACTAAAGTGTAAAGTAACAATAAGTTGTGAACATCTGTAATTCTGTGATTAAAATGAATGGTAACTCAGGAAGTGATGAAGAATTTACGAATACTCCACCGGACTTGTAAGAGGAAACTAGCAATATTTCTCTGAATTCGTTACCTACAAAGTCAAGATAACGGTACGAAAAGTATTATGAATTGATCAACAACTGGAAAAGGATTAAAAAGGCCAAAAACTTAACAGAAAATGTACTCCTTGCATATTTATCAGAAAGATCAAAGATTGTAAACGCAGGCACACTATTGTCTGAATTTTCAATGTTGAAAGCACCTTTAAAGATAATAGTTTTGATAATTTTCATAAAGTTTTTTTCAACATAATTCTGTAAATTACGTGCCCAAAAAGTCTAAAAGTTTGACTCAAGAACAATGTCCTAATTTTTTTAAGAAAGCACATGATTCGGAATATCTTATGATAAAGGTAAACTAAGTTGAATTAATTATGTTTTTTATTGGCATTGTATTATAGGTTTTTCTTATTACGGGACTATACAGAGCGAGTCATCGAAGTGGTTGAATATGAAATTTGACCGCATAGATAATAGAGGTTTGATTGTTAGAGTTCCACAAACAAAAAATAATATTACAAGAGCGTTTATAGTTACAAACAAAACAGTCGATGAATTGAATCTACTTAAATATACAAAAAATATATTTCCCTTAGACCTATCCACACTCCTGTTCATTTATTACAAGAATAATAAATGCACAGTGCAACCGATCGGAAAAATGTATTTAGCAAAATTCCAAGCAAAACAGTTACTTTTTTTTGAACTGCCTGAACCTAATACCTACACAGGACATTGTTTTCGCCGTTCTCTACTAGCTAACTATCGATGACTGCTTATGAAATAAGATTCACATTTCTCAGAAAATCCTGACAAACCCAAAACAGCAGTAGAAAAAATAACACAACTAAAGTATTAAATATTTCCGACCAAATAAATGAAATACCAGGACCTCATCTATAGAAATGTCACCATGCTGCTAGCACTTCAAACATTTACCGAATACCTACATATTCTGGTATTACTACCAATAATTGTGCTCAAGAAATAATTAACATTAATTATTATAATAAATTAATTCGCAAATTGTTACTACTTAAGCTTCTTATTAAATTATGTTTATATTTATGAAATTAATGATTTTTGTTATATTTTTCCTTATTTTGGTATTGTTTAATGCTAGACGAAAAACAGTTGTGTGAAAAATTAGTTAGTGGCTTTTTATTAAAAATTTGGCTATATCACTGAATTCTGTATTCTCTCAATGTAGTTTATACCAAATTTCGAGAAAAAACTATTTAATGCTTATTGTAAAATTAATATTAAAGTTTTTATAACTTCAATTCTTCTCAAACGGGGTAAGCAATCTATGGAATCATAAATAATTTAAATAAACAAATAAAATGTGTTCTTCTATAACGCGAAGTTCCAAATTAAAAAATAATTTTTAATTTTAATGGATGCACCAATTATTTATTAGGAATAACCAAAAACCATAAAAATGACATGAGTATTGAACACTTTACTTTTTCATGAAATTTTTGTCAAATTTGTAACCGAGAAAAAGTAGGCTCTAACTCAAAAAAAAAAAATACATTAAATTGGACAATAAATAATAATTTTTTATAAGTTTTCATTTGAAATGTATCAGGAGATCCTAAATTGTCTCAGGGTGAGGGTACCTTCTTAGACAAACTTATTTCAAAAAATAAATACCTAATAATATCCTTCAAACGGCGATGGTAGATATTATATAAGAGTATTTGATCATATCTTTGTGGTATCTCATCGAGCCAGTTTCCAGCCCCAGCATAATAATATCTTTCATAACAACAAGTTATAAAATGGGGAGATATGGTGACCTAGTTTCGAGAAATAAAACGTTACATCTAGTGGTATTAGCAAGAAACTTAAAGTTCACTACTAGGGATTTATCCGTTTCGTTTGAAGCGATTGAACGTCTATTTTTACAGTCGAAACATCAGCGTTATCCGGTGTTGGTTAAACTTTGATGATTTTCCCCCACAGCTTTGTTGCCAAATGGCTCGTGTCGATGTTGGAAAGAAACTTCAATTACAGTTTTAACTATCTCCGAGCCAAAACCATTAGGTACATTTTTGTTGGTGCAAGCGTACAGGGCGTATAAATTAAACTGTGCCATTTAAGGGCGTACTAGTTTTAGAAAAATAAGAAGAGTGTTTTTGTGAGCCCTATAGCCAAGGTAAATTTTATCCATTTTGGTACGATAAACAAACAGTTTGAAAGGTGGTATTTAATTTGATGTATTCTGTATTTCAGACTTTTTATATTAATAGCTAACTCTAAGTCACAAGTAAATAAAAAGTATCCGGAATTATTTATTTTATGCTACCAAAAGCTGTTGATGAAAAACATGTAAGTAAATGTTATTTTAAAACGGGAAAAAGTCAGTGGCATACCATTTTTTTTATTAAAAAAGTTCTGGCATTCTTGTACGAACGCTACTGGTGCAAGTAGAAATATTCGGATCACCCCAAAAAAGCACATTTATCCCACCAAAGCGTTTTTCAAATTTCGAATCAATATCTTTAAAACTCTGAAATAATTAATAAAAATAAATTAAAAATTAAAATTGAAACACTCTTTATCTCGGAAACGAAACATACAAACATCCTGTAGAGTCCTTCATTAAAATTAAGATCATGATTTTATTTACGCTAATTTAGAACTGCTAAAATCTTTTAAATGAACAGAAAGTTATTTAAACTTGTTTTGTGTAATGCTGACATAATTTTTTTACCCAATACACATAGGTATACTCCAGGATACTATAGTGACACAATGTAATACATCAAAATTACTAAACACTAATATTATTGCCCTGTTTTCGAATTTACTTTAAGCGAGAAAACATAACATAATAAATATTTTCACCTAATCAACTAACACCTAATATTATACTGGAATGTTATGAATGATATGTTTTCAGATGAGTTTGAAAATTCCACAGATCTACGGAATCAAATTCATGATTGTTCTGTTGGAAGAATACATGTGTTTCTAACATTATTTTTTGGTCTAGGTATGTACAACTAGTGAAAAAATATGAATTCGTGTTACAGTTAGAAATTTTTTACATTTTTCTTCAATATATGTATATAATTATTCAACCTAAATATTCTGTTTAGTTTATTTTGTCAATTGAAAATAATAAATCTGTTACTTATGTCTTTTATACTTGACTAGGAGAACTTTATTAATAAAATAAGAGACTAGAAATCCTCCTAACTTATTCATTTACCTATTTTAACGATTCTTTTTGTTATACAGATATCGTGAAAGTTTGTCGGAAGCATGTCATGCCTAAAGAAAATTTAATTTTGTATCTACCTGTGTCTAATTTAAGATAAACTTCAATTTAATAAAATCAAGAAAAATCGTTATTGAAGATTTGATGATGTGAATGGATGAATGATGAAAAAGTAACATGGGAATGGTACGACATATAACCAATATTTTTTCATGAAAGAAAGCTTTAAATTCACCAGGAAATTAGGTACATAATTAAAAAAGGGAAAATATTGAATTGGTGCCATTTTCATCTGAGACTCTTTTTTGTACTACTTATATTGCCAGCGCTACGGAATAATACGTTTTAAGTGGACACCCTGTAGAGTGAGCTAGTACTACAAAAATTGGTGCATTGTGTTTCACCACCTTAAGAAGGAATCCATTGGAATTTTTTCCTTAAAAAGATCCCTATAGTACTTTTGCATTTTGAAAACGGACGTTGTTAACCGTGGCACTGAATTATTAAATTATTTGCACGTTTCTTACACCCTTCCATGAGAAAAAAATATCGTTAAAGTTTGATCAATAAATAAAAAAATTGTAGCCTTAAGTAGAACACAATTTAGATAAAATTAGCAAAAATTAGCATTGATACGCTCATTTTAATAAATTAAAAATTATTTTCCATAGTCAAGTATAAATTGGCCTTGGAGTTATGGTACAAAATGTGGCTCACAACCACGTTCTGTATTAAAAAATTAAAATAATTCCCTACCTAATTATCATTCGTTTAGTAACTTTTTACAATAAATAAAAGATAAATATTGAAGGCTTATGTATAGTATTATCACATTTTTCTTCATATAATATACAACGATTAGATATATAATATGTATTAAATTTTGGATATAGTAAGGCATATTCAGAAGAGAGAGATGAAATTGCTTTGATGCCTGAAGGGCCATAAGAAACGTTAATGTTGTTTTAAACAACAGTTCCGAGGTCCGAGGAAACCTGTTGGAAGTGCTCTTGACCTGTAATAACAAATGCAGTTTTAGTAATTTGTTTTGACGCTCCCATTTCATGTTTCATTTAAATAGAGAATTAAATCCGTTCATAAATAACTTTATTTATATACGACATGGTTCAGAACTTATCCAACGAAAATTAGACAAAGCGTGTACAAAGTTAAAATTCAGTTAATGTTTCGTACTCTTTACAGAAGAGAAGAAAAACTTAACTGGACGATAGTACATGAGTTCGACTAGAGTTTTTGGGATTTGTTTTTAAATTTTTATAATATACATACATATTTAGTTAGTGTTCAGTACGGTAAATCATATACTTAATTAATTAGTGACTAGTGTAGTGCAAACAGAGTAGGGCATTTTAGTATTTTTTATGTGTACTTTCTGTTTTTGGATAATTTTTTAATAACTGATCTAAATAAATATTTATACCAGTTGTATACCCACCATTTTTTTTGGAATAAGTTCTGAATGGTCATGTATATATTTTTATTATGTAATAATATTCTAAAGTCGTTTTTAAAATTGCTGTTTATGTCGGTTCTAATAATACGCCCATTAATAAAAACGTTTTAGAAAACTGAGGAAAGAAACTTACTTTCAAAATAGGTGGCTAGTTCGTGGTCATCACATTGGATCGCCAGTAATTTTGGTGTGAGCCCTCTATGATCGGTAACATCAAGTGCTGCACCACCGGCTACCAAAATGCAACAAATACTCCGCCACTTATAAGCCACAGCCTTGTGAAGCGCCGATTGGCCCCTAAAAACAAAGCTGCAATTAATACTGTTGCTTATTTAATACAAATCACCATTCATCGTTTAAAAGAGATGTTATTTTCAATAAATAATCGACTAACAACATATTTGTCATACTTTTAAAAATTATTTTTATGCTTCGTGAAACACTTGGTGGTTACTGGTTTTTTATCTTCCGTAAATTGTCGATAGGCGGTAGTTCTGGTGTCAAATTGTTGTTATGAGTTTTCAGATGCCAGTTACTCAGAAAGTTATTGTCAATTATCTCATCTTTTGGTTGCCTTATAGCGTTACTAATAATTTCTTTTACATTATATTTATGGTAAATGTTATTTATTTGTCTGATTTATAACAACTGACATCCAGATAGAAGTGTACCACAGGTTAGGACATTTATTGTAGTATCCCAGTGTTTTAGATATTGACAATGTTATTCCTCGCATTTAAAGAGGACAATTTTGCAATTCTCAATTAACAGTGATTTGGGACATCACTGAACTGAGAATATGTTGAGGAACAATTAAGGGAGTTTTTAGATTCATTCATTAGGTTAGTACAAACTATTGACACAAGTTCTTGCGACGTTTGGGTCCTTTCATATTGAGTTGTAACTGTTATTGGTTGTTGTGATGTTATTTGATTAGAAAATGGAAAAATTTGAGCTGCACCATATAAATATCAGTGCGGTTGTTATCCTGAATAAAAAGCACAGGCCGAGAAAAAAAGTGTTTGTCTTTTAGATCAGACACGGTTATTCCTATGTATTTTGATGTTCTGAAAACGAATTTCAGGGTTAGAAAAAATTCTAACGCAACGATTTTCCGCAAATCACCTTCAAATGCGTGATATTTCAGGTTTTCTGGCATTATTTCATGCCACTCATCAAAATTTGTGTGATATGAACAGAATTCTGATTTTCACAATTTTTGCATAAGACTGCGTATGAAAGGTTGAGGTATAGATTTTTAAGTTATGGAATATCATCAATCGACAATTGATTGTCAATAGGCTGTCAATATAGATATGGTGGTCAACAGCTTCATTTCGTGAATGGAGCTGGGTGTCTGCGAATCTTTACTTTCTGGTTCATTTGACAGTCGACATTTTGTATTCCTATTCTCCAATGCCATCAATTTTTATTCGGTAATATCATTTCATCAGGACTACGATATAGATTATTCCCCAAGATCGTGAATGCGTTGTCGTGGCCTTGAAGCTTGAGCTCTGGATGAATGTTGATTGATTTCCAATTCAGACTAAGATTCACCTATGGGCAAGTTCCCAGAATAAAAAATTTAGAATGGACGGATCAAGACGAAGAAAATCGTACGCAACAGGATCTCGGATACCCAGAAGGAGCAAGACTAGAAGTGGGCGAGCGGGCTTCTACTGGTCCTCATCAAGCAAACCGCAATGTATTGGAGGTGGGTCGCTTGGCCTCTAATGCAGCTACTGCAACAAGGCATCACAAGGATTGTCTGAATCCAATAAATAGGTTTTGCTTTATGTGTGGTGAGCATACTTTCAACAAATCTCTTCCGAATATAACTCAACGAATTCGAGAAATTTACAGAAACTATTTTAATGATTCCAGCTACGAAGTTTAACACAAATGGATTTCACCTGTTTCATTTGCTAAGTCTGCTTCAAATTACTTTAAAGATATGTTGATGTCATAAAACCAGAAATATCGTGCATTTGAAGGTGATTTGTGAAAAACTCTTGCGTCAGAATTTTTTCAGAAACCAAGAAATTCGTTTCCAGAACATTAAAATGCATACATATATAAAAGAACCTTATTTGATCTAAAAAACAAAAAAAATGTTTTATCGGCCTGTGTAGTTTTTAGTAGTTGATGTTGTCTTCATCGGCATGTGCATAAACAACATTTGTACGTTTAAAGTAACAACTAATAGTTGACTCTTGGTACGGCGATTCATATTTTCTGGAATCTTTTTAATCTCCAATGCCAATAATTTAACTTCATTCACACAATGATTTTGTCATAAAAAACTATAGAGTTCTTTTTAATTCACGACTCTAATTTATCCCATTACACCTACCGTCATTCGATATTACATTAATACATTATTGTCAAGAACCGTACGTCTTTTTTCAGAACACTATAATTAACTTATCTTCCTTATTTCACAATTTCCTTTCTTCGATTTTGTAAAAAAACAACGGACGTCGTCATCTTCATTAGCAGCTCTTTTTTTTATGGTACTAGATCCGATATTTTCATCTTTATTTTGTGTAAGATTACCTGGGGTTTCTTCGAGCAGGTTTCTAAAAATTGTACCTGACGAAATAGATATACTAGTACTGCACTCACTGTATCTACAATCGCCACAAAATTATGAATGAAAAAAGAACCTATAGACAATTGTCGCTGATAGTTTCAACACAACTGAATAACCACAAATGGAATCGTAGTGTGAATGTGTCCTCTTCACGGAGAAGTGTGGTAATTGACCGGAATTTCTCTAACATTCACGTAGCGATCGAAAATCCAGGCAGCTTCAAGTCGTTCGCGGTAATGCTGCTAAATTCTCCAGAATTGGGATGTAAAAGGGTCCATATTTACATTGCGATTTCATTATCGGATATTCAATTGTGTCGTAGAAGATGAAGGTGAAAATGAAGTAAATGATCTCCGTTCTATTTTTTACATTACATTACATTCCAACAATATTTATTCACATGGATATTTATATGATACAGCATAAAAAATATTACTTAATTCTGATTCAACTGTCTTTTTACTTTTCACTTACAAAATTTTTTTATTAGCTTATTATTTAAAGTTTTTTCTTTAAAACCTCTTTTAATTTGCAAACATGAAATTTAATTTATCTTGGGCTATGCAAAGCTTTCCTTCGGGTGGGAAATATTTTCTAAATATTATGTCTCCTACAGAAATATTACCTTGTTTCAGAAACAGCCTGTATATAGGGTGCTGCATAATGATGTGCAAATATTTTAAGTAGGTGTTTGGAAAGTAATTCTAGGGGGGGGGATACTTCCAATATATTTTTTTTGATTTGAGCCGCCCCTAAGGTAATATTCAAATCTCAAAATTGCCGAAAAAATTAGCTTTTATTCATTTTTTCACGAAAACGGTTAAATTTAGAAATTTGAATTTTGGTACACGTTAACAACTGAATGAACTGAATGGTATTTTTTGGTAGTCTTTTTTTTCAGGTTCATTTCTTTGAATGAAAGAAATTAGCACCTTTGGTTTTATTTCTCTTACAACTTTTTTCTACGTTAGCCAATTCCAACAAGAAAAACAACTTTTAATACTACATTTCATTTAGAAACCTTTTTACCCTTTCCATTTTTTCGTATACTTAATGGTTTACGAGCAAAAAATTAAATTATTTTTCTTTGCCGATTAGGTACACATAATTAGTATAACAGTTACCAAAAACGATCGTCGTTTTTGACATGCTTTTTGTGACAATTCTTTTTTATCAATAGGAAAAGCTAAGCAAATATGAATTAAAAATTTAATAAAAAAAGTAAAATCTAATTTTTTCGGAGACTGAGATTTGAATATTTTCTCAGCAGGCTCAAATCAAAAAAATGTATTGGAAGTATCCCACTCAAATTACTTTTTAAACACCTCCTTAAAATATTTGCACATCATTATGAAACACCCTGTATATCCAAAAATTCGTTGAATGAAGACTTGTCCAAAGATATTTTTTATCGTGCTCTCGTCATATACCTTTATAATCTCTTTATTCCTTTTTGATAATAGCTAATTTTCATCGAATGCATTGCAGGAATGCTCAAAGTAATGGAATTTTTAACAGATTCAAGAATCGTAGCCTAAGAGCCCTTATTCAAGTTGTAAAATTTCGTACGTACAACGAACCACATCCTTCAGTTTCATTTAATGCAATCTGACTATGTTTTTACGAACAACGCTTTATTTTATTTTAGGTATTTCAATTTTTCAATGTTTTGTTTCTGTAGCAGTCTCAAACTGTTTTCAAACTATCAGATATATTCGCCGACTTAAATGTCATGTATGTACATTCAGCGAGTCTAAGGTCACGAATCAATTGGTTAAATCAGTCTTCAACTGCTGCAAAAACAGACCTAACAGCCACTTTATATGAAGCGAATGGTCGGTATAAATCATCAGGATATGATAATTTAGTTTAGCTGATTGATCATATGCGCTCCATTACACTCGGTTATAAGTGACCATGCTTTAAATAGCTTTGTCATGGAAAAAGCCCCGAAAATCGTGGTCGGGTTTCCCACTAAACACATTAACAAGCATATCGATTAAATCAAACCAATTACAGATTCGCCCTTAAAAATATATAAGAAATACATGGAACGGTTCCCACATTATGATTTGGCATTTCATAATGCGTTAACAGCGTGTCGTGACTCACATCATTTTCCCAGATACAATCCCTTTCGGATTACTTCATTTTGCTATACCCAACAGAGCTGGGCGCAAAGGCGTATACACATTAACTTGCCACGGTTGGTGTACTGAATATTTTTTTTCCTAAACTTTGTTACAGTTTCTATTTGAGTAAAAAATTGTTCTCATACAGTCGGCTTCCTGAAATTCACAATTTTGAAGTATGAAATACGTTTGGGGCTCTATAGTTATTTTGCTGAAGGAAACAATTTTATGTGACAATTTACACACAATTTTACAGAGCGGCCAAAAAATTTACATTAATGTGTTTGTAAATTGGCTCATATATTTTATTTATTTTGCAAAATAAGTGTAGATGCTCATTTCGAGGAAAAATTTCAATAAATGTTTCTCGTGCCTCTTTTTTTTATATATCAAGGCCGACAATTTCAGGAAAGTAATTTTCAACGTTAATATCTCGAAAATAGTTGCAAACATAAAAAACGTTAATTAGAAATCAACTAAAAGTCCACTATCGAAATAAGGGTGCGTTTCTAAGAGAACCATAAGGTGATGTAAATGTAAAACTAATATTTTTACCCACTGAAAATATAATACACTAAAATTAATAACTGAAAATATACAGGGTGTTAATGAACTTATGTCAAAAATTTAAAGCGGTGAAAAAGGACCAAAAGCTGAATGAACTGATGTCACAAACTTGTATCGGAAGTTTAAGGTCATAGAGAAAAAACCTAATTAAAAATGTGTTTAAAACCGTTTTGGAACTGCTTAAATACATGTATTTTATCACGGCGAGTACTTACAAAAAATTTTGTAACACTTTTTACGAGTTTGTAGGTTTCGTATGAAACCGGACTGTATTCGAAAGTCAGTTTGTCACTGCTCAAAATAATTAGAAGAACACTTATTTAAATCTCAATAAATTTTTTATTTGTAATACTATATAAATCTAATAATGCATATCTTGAAGACTAACATTTTGTTAGAATAAATTTACGAAAATTAAACAAATTCGATTCGATGGGGTTTAGATCAGGACTTAGCGGAGGCCAATCCATGGATTGAATCCCATGATGTTGAAGGTACTTCATGGTGATAGTCGCAGTTGCCTTGCGTTATCTTGCATAAACAGAAAATTTGGACCTATACCATAAGCGGCTGGTATAACATGATCTTCTAGAATGAGATCAATGTATCGTTCAGCGGTTAGAGTCCCTGGAGCTATGACAAGATCGGTTCTTTCATCAAGACTAATTCCGCCCCAAACCATCACTGACCAACCACCAAATTTTTCGACTTCTTGTATGGTAGCTGAAGAATGGCGTTCATGTGGATGTCGGTATACACGTACTCGACCAACACAACGACTTAACGAAATCGTGACTCATCTGTGAAGAGTACTGGTCTCCAATATCGAAGTTGCCATGCCACATGCTCACGTGCAAAATGTAAACGAGACCTTATGTGATACGGAGTTAAAATAGGTTTTCACACGGGTCTTCTTGGTCTCAAGTGTGCTTCTCTCAGTCTATTCCTAACTGTCTGATCTGAAATTTCAAACCCATAAGTCGTTCTGAGCCTACTTTGAAGGTCTTTTGCTGTGGATGTACGAGAACGCAAGGAGGATAGGACTAAAAACCTGTCCTGAATTCGGTTTGTTTTCCTCTTAGGACCTTGTCCTATGCGTCTTTTATATCGTCCGGTTTCTAAGTAACGATTCCACACGCGATGGATGACAGAAGGGCTTACGTTAAAATCTCTTCAACCTGTCGAATACTGGTGCCATACTCTATACTAGCAACAACACGAACGACTTCAACTTCACTTAGATGCCTCATTTTTTACAATTTATGCTGAACTGTCAACATTGTTTACTATACTAAGGCACAGCATATTTCTAAATTGAAATTTTGGTTGTATGTTTCACTTTATTTCTTGTAGTTTTTTGAATTGGTACTATTGTCGTAATAATGATTATGTAAATTTGTTTTATTTTCGTAAATTTATTCGAACAAAATGTTAGTCTTTAAGATATGCATTATTAGATTTATATAGTATTACAAATAAAAAAGTTATTGAGATTTAAATAAGTGTTCCTCTAATTATTTTGAGCAGTGTATATTGTTGTAGTGATTGCTGTGCTGTTTTTCGAGCGTACATTTAATAGCCGTATTCCCAAGTTTTCTTTTGAAAATGGCGCATTTATTTAGCTAGCAATCGCAAATATTATGATATGCTCGTAATTTATGGCGAAGCCAACGAAAATGCCCACAGAACTTGTCAGGTGTACCATGAAAGATATCCTGAACGACGTGCTCCCACACCAGAAATATCGCACAAGTAAATATTTCGCATCCCGTTGTGTGGCGGTCATTACGAGAAGCTCAGTAGTACCCATTTCATATTCAACGTGTTCAAGCGCTTACTCCCGAGGATTTTCCACTACGTCGAGGTTTTTGCGTATGGTTGCTTGAGGCACATGCAAGAAATCCTCAATTTACAGCGCAAATACATGTTTCAGTCGAAATGGTATACGTAACGTCCACAACACTCACCACTGGATTATCGAAAATCCACACGAAATACGTCGCGTTGCCTTTCAGCAACAGTTTTCAGTGAACATGTGGGCCGGTATCGTTAATGACACTTTAATAGGACCTTTTCAATTGCCTAGACGATTAGATATCTACATTTTTTTGCAAAATCGCTTGCCGGAGTTATTGTTAAGACGTGTCATTAAATGTTCGGCAAAATATGTGGTTACTGCATGACGGAACCCCCGCTCACTTTTTTTCAGAGTGCGCGACTTTCTAAACATTACTTTTCCCGATCGCTGGATAGGCCGCGGCAGCCTAGTTAGATGGCCCCTCCGGTTCTCGGATCACACCCCTTTAGACTTCTTTTTGTGGGGATATGTGAAAAGTGTTGTGTATTTCACGGAAGTTCGTGACATCGATCAACTGCGTTATCGTATTGTCGAAGCTTGTAATACGATTCGAGAGGACGTGGCAATGTTGCGACGCGTACGAGCGAATTGGATACGTTACGCTGAAGCTTGTGTGCAAGTAAATGGTGCGTACATCGAACATCTATGAAAACCAGCAGTTGTGGCTCCTTGCAATGTTGAGGTAAGTCAGATTTTAAAATTCCATTTTACTCAACACAAATCCGTGAATTTACCTCATTTTGGCATAAGGGACACGTGGCAAAAATATTTGACATAAGTTCATTAACATCCTCTATTTGACACTCTTTAAAATATAAATGATGCTTTCTAGAAATAAGTAGAAGATACCAGTGACGAAAGCAACAATTTTACTCCCAAAGCTCTTACATTATTTATTACTAGACTAATTCGTGAATTAAAAACAGATCTGTTTGAATTTAGTTTGATAACTGAGAAATTTAATGAAAATGATTTGGAAGGTTGAAAGCCTGCATTACCGTAGAAGGAGGCCATTTTCAATAACTGTTGTGATTTTTGTTATTTATTTGCTTAGTTTTGAAATATTTTTTTTATCATGTCGCTATTTTCTTTCATGTTTTCCATCATAAAACGTCATTTCTCTTGAAAACTGTTACCGTTAGAGTTTTTGATGATGTGTACTTTTTTGTGTAGAAAGCGGTTTCAAAATACCAATGTTCCCATAGTCGTAAAAATTGGGGACAAAAGAACCTCACGCAATCCTAAAATCTCTGCCATTGTCATATGAATAAAAATTGAATTAGCGCCCAAGAGTAGCTAATGTTAATGATAATAAGTGTACAAAATTTGAGTTCTGTATTTCAAACGGTTACTGAGATATCGTCAAAAAACTGAAAAAAAGGATTTTTTTTTTGACATCCTATATCTTGAAAACGCTGCGTTTGCGGGCATGATTGCTATGTTTACTAAGACTTGTTTACTTCTAATATCATGTGCTTATAGCTGTTCCAATTCGCGCTATTAATTATGATACACCCTGTATATAACTTAATGGACAATAACATAACTTGAGGATATACCTAATCTCAATAAGCAGAGTTGATTTATTTTTTGTTTTTAATGGTGACCTATGTTTGATAACATCAAAGAGAGCCGTGCTTTGACTTTAAAAGTATTTATATCCAGTTCTTTCTTTGTTCCTTCTTTCAATGATTTAAAAATCTCCTCTACCGTCTAGTTCAAAGTCGCATTATGGGACTTACAGATTGGAATCCTTCACGTTCAGGATGGAGGGAGCGTAGCTTATCAGGTATTTCACAATGTCCTTGTGACCATAGCGGGCAGCATAATGAAGCATTGTTTGGCCCGAGGGATCTCTCGTTTGTAAAGAATATCCCTGGCTGTGGAGTTCTTTAACCTGAAAGTGAATTTTATATGCTGAGTCGAGGTAAGAAGTCAGAAGAAGTTAGTTCAAACTATTGCTAATGCAGTTTTGGAATAAATTGGATTTAAAGGTTCTGGTATGTGAAAAAACTTGTCTGCTAAAGCAGTTTTAATGAGCCTCTCAGCGAAAGTAATTAATTTAAAGGGACTGAACTGCATCTTACAATTAATTAAATTTAATTAACATATTCTAGTCCTCTGGTAAATATGCTATTTACTGCATTCTGCGTCATAAATACTCTAAGTTTATTGTTCATAAAAAATATCCTAGGTATACTTTCTTCGTCATTTTTAAGATGAACATCACAGGACTTAAACTGAAAGAAATACAGGCATGGTTAAATTGGTCATTTTTAAAATTATAAAAAGAAATTGAAAGTAAGTCGAATAGTTCCTGAAATATTTTGGAAAAATTGAAAGTTTTTTTTTATCCATCATAACTTACTTATTATCAAAAGCAGTATAATGACATTTTTCCATTAGATGAAGTATAAAATTACGAACTGAATGATGTATCATACTACTTGATCCAATCAACTTTATTAAGGGTGAAATAACATCAAATAAACGAAAATTTTGATTTCAAACAAAAAGAGCAAAATGACATTCTGGTATAGTCTTTCCGATCTCAATTGAAGAACCACGAGGATGACAGTATGTACCAGGTTCGATCGTTGACGACCCAACTATTGGCATTGAACTATTTAAAAAACCTGTTCCCACATTTATTTAGCCATACCCATATACAGGTCTGGTCGAACTAAATGTGCAGGTGGTAGAAATGTGTAAGCCCAGTTGAAGAATGAGCGTGCGGCCAAACATCAATACGTACTGTTGCTCTGGTCGACTGCGTCAAATTTCAGTTGTCGACAAGTCGTCTGGCTGTGCAGTGCAGCAATGCGGAATTTGGTGTGATTCAGGTAATTTTAATTTATTATAGTCACCTTCTATTAATCATTCATATTACAATTGCGAAAGGAAGAAATAAGAGGGATATTTTGTTTATTAGGTAATATTATTACAACATGGCATTTTGGAGACCTTTTGAAACGGTACAAAATGAAATTTACCATTAATATGATAAAATTGTTTGAGGACAAATAATTAACATATGTTGTTGGCCAAATGAACTTAATAGAAATTTTCTACACATTATATGTATACAAATTATATTTTTTTACCTTTAGCCGAAATCTTTTTTAGGGACGCCTATGAAACTCTTTAAATTTCATTGCTAGGCGTTTTTATACATGTCCAACTGATTTTTTTTTATAAAATTATATTTTTACTGGATTAATGGAGGATATTTTAAAAGGGAATTTTGAGTAATGTCATGATGACAGATATATATTTTTACCGTTGCATTGTTCAATTAATAATATTTAGTTAATTTTGAAGTTCTGATATAAATATTTATTACTAGATATTACTAATACTATTCAATGCTAGTCAGGACGTGTAGTCCGCAGAGTAATTATTTCGCGGAATGTCATCAGTTAAGAATCTTGTCTACGAGGTTAGATTTATTTTGTGTACCTAGACTTTTGATACTTTAATAAGATTTTTATATGATTTTTTAATTTGTTCAAGTTAATACCTTTAAAATAAACTAAAAAAAATGCTTGTCTGTTATGAAACACGAATTTTTATATATTATTTAATAATACCAGAAACGCTATTCATTTTCAAGTGTTGGACATTTATTTACACAATCACAAAAATGTTCTATTCTTCCTACCTTTCACCCTCTAATATAATGTAGTATAAACTTCCGTCTTTTTGACGAAGACTAGATAATTAAACCGCCACGAAGATATAATAATTTTCAACAATTATCTCAGAAAATAAATTGCTAGCCCCTGGACTAGAATTAGACCAGATGTGATAGATTTCCCTGTTTTAATTGCATGTGGTTTCATTCAATTAAATTCAAATACTGACGTACTTTACGGAGCCGTTGGCTCCAATATTACCGAGAAGCGGAACTTCCGACAGTCGTATAAATTCGGCTGGGTTTTCAACATTTTTTCCATCAGAATAAAGTGTCGTAATGAGGCAACAAATTATATCTTGCTATATGACAAGATTATATTTTAAATAATCACATGAACTATACCGTCAGCTTAATGTGTTGATAACCAGTATGCATTATTTTCGTTCAAGTATTCTATTGGTATAGTNATTAAAAAAAGTGATCATTTCATAATTTTACAATTCATTTCCAATAAAAATGATCTCTTTCATTTTCTTCGTGTCTCTCATAGTTTAGTCACAAATTGGATATTCATAGAAGTCTGTTTTTCGACGACTGTGTTAACATGCGACAATGCTTCTGAATTCAGTATGCCGTGAAAACAAAATCCAATTTATTATGTAGTTTTGAATGTGACAGTTAATGTTTATGATAAATAGCGTTTATGCAGTTTATGTATATGTGGTTTTTCAATAATGGCGCAGGTTGCATTCACAAATGAAGAGTATGCAGATATGCATTTGATGTATGGTGCAGCCTGGGGTAATGCTGTTGAAGCGAGACGATTGTACGCAGAAAACTTTCGTGGGAGAAGAATTCCTGACCGAAGGGTATTTCAGGCAGTTGACGCGCGTTTAAGGGAAATTAGAATGCGTATAGGGGCTACTGAGAGACCGCGACTCCGACAACAAAATTTTGAAGATCAGATTCTTCAAATGGTGGAAAGGGAACCAACGACAAGCACCAGAAAAAATAGCTCTGAATTGGGCGTAAGTCATACAACGGTCTGGCGCACAATTCGTAATCAACAGCTGTATCCATTTCACTTTCAAAAGGTGCAAGCGTTGACTCCAGCAGATTATCCACCTCGACAACAATTTTGTCGCTGGCTGCTGAACCGTTGTGCAGAAGAGCCTAACTTTGTAGCACACATATTATTTACTGATGAAGCCAGTTTTGCAAGAGATGGCATAATGAACTCACACAACATGCATTACTGGGCTGACGAGAACCCTAATTGGACTGTCGCTGGTACGCATCAACAGCAGTTCTCGCTAAATATCTGGTGTGGTATTATTGGCGATATTTTAATCGGGCCACATGTTTTGCCAAACCGTTTAACCGGCCAAGCCTATAGGCATTTTTTAGAGGAAATCCTACCAGGATTGTTGGAAGAGGTTCCACTTGCAACAAGAGTATTGCTCTGGTTTATGCAGGACGGGGCACCTGCCCACTTCAGTTTAGCTGCCAGGAATTATTTGCAGAACACCTATCCAAATAGGTGGATAGCTCGAGGGGGTCATGTAGCTTGGCCAGCAAGGTCGCCTGACCTGAACCCCCTTGACTTCTTTTTGTGGGGTCACTTAAAAAGTTTGGTATACGAAACAGAGGTTCAAAGTATTGAAGATCTACAGCTTCGCATACAAAATAGTTGTAGAGCAATTTTAAATACCCCAGGGATTTTCGAACGAGTTCGGAGATCGTTATTACGTCGAGCTGAAGCGTGCATCCTAGTTCAAGGACGGCACTTCGAACAATTATTGTAAATTTTTATTAGATAGGAGTCTAATATTTAATAATAATAAATTATATTGAAACAAGTTTTGATTTTATCTGACATGAAGTTTTCTTATAATAATTTTGATCATATGTATATTATCTTAATTAAATAAAAAGGACAAATAATGTGTTAAGTACTACTACATACTTCTTCTTAAGATTATGGCAATAGGATACATAAATTATTACTGCGCCAGAAATTTTCAAAATTAAGCAAAATATCATATTACTTATTGTAGTTAATATGTTCAATAGCAGTTAACAATCGAATAGCACAATTTTGCTCCACATAAACATTTCAATTTGTGACTAAACTATGAGAGACACGAAGAAAATGAAAGAGACCATTTTTATTGGAAATGAATTGTAAAATTATGAAATGATCACTTTTTTTAATTTAACCAGTGGCGTCACATATTTATTTTGCCCAAAGTGACAGACTCACCCTGTATCTACGCCACTGCTTAATTTTAAAGAGCCATATTTTGGCAGCAAATGCAATATCCTCGGCTTACACAGTACCCCAAATTTGTTAACAATATCTTAATCCGTTTAAGTTATGAAAGAAAATTTTAATTTATAGAAAAAAATCAACCCCCTGTATCTTCATAACGAAGGAAGTTAGAACAAAAGTTTACCTGACTTTTATTCTTATTTTTATTCCCAAAATATGCTCACGTGTTTGTGACATATCAAACTGAAACACCCTGTATATCCCTCGAAAGCGTTTTTCAAATTTTGATTCATCTTTAAAACTATTTGAAATAATTCATAAAAATACATAAGAAATTAAAACTTAAACTCTCTGTATCTCGGAAATGAAGAATATTTCGACCTATGTTTATATGAAATTTTTTTCACAAAATAACCCCTAAATACCCCTAAAATATTTCGCACTTAGTTACAAACACCCTGTATAATACATTCTAGTAGCTACTAAGAAGTGCCCCACGAGTAAGGCAGAATTTGAATTGTGTGCAATTTTCGATAGAATGAATGAAGCAACAGTGAAAAGATTAGTAGGCACATTTGTACAAACAGGTTTGGTTGCAGACAATAAAAAAATTAATTTTCACAATCTTCACGCGCTCATCTGGAATGAAAATGGCGCACAATTCAATTCTTCCGTTATTTTTGGGAGAGCCTTTAAATTGCCTTAGTAACCACTTGAATTGCAGTAAGTAAACGTTCGTTTGTCTTTGCTACAGTCATGTATTTAAAACAAAATTAACTCCTGGTGCAATAAAAAAATAACACTCTCAGAAATTACGTACTCAAAATAGTTTTTAATCCAAACATTGTAAGAAATAATCATAGTAAGTGTGTTTTTCATTTCAACACACTGTTTCTTCAGAAAAGAAACATTTTCAGATACATATTCTAAGGACTTTTTTTCATATTTCTTTTGTAATTAATTTTTGAGATATGTATATTTTATGATCCTTAAAAAATGTAGTTTAGGAAATAATTTTTGAATCTAAACGTTGAATTAAAAAAGAAATATGTTTCAATACTTTTGTCAATTTCATAGAATTATCTATTTTGTTTAAATAAAACTACTTTCAAAAGTTAATTGCATCAGTGCCAGAGAAGCATTTTCATATTATTAAAATAACCATTTCAATTCATTTTTAATTAAACTGTTATAAAACATTATGTAAATGTCTAGTGCATATCGCGTGTGTTCTTGTTATTCTTAATAGATTTTTCTCGTGGGCGGTAATATTTTAAATTAAAAGCAATTTCCCCAAGGACTAAATAAATAAGTATTTCGTTTACGAACTTAAAGATATATTTAGACTTTTTGTACGATAAAAAGCCTCTCGATATCATTTAATAAATTAATTTTTAGATGTTTCTTAAATAGTAATACATGCCTGCAAGAATATTGGGTACATATAAAAAAGATAAAACATTTTCATTCAGTCATATTTTACTTCATAGTGTTTTATGTTAAAATTTTGATAAAAATTTTATTCGTTTTTTTGTTAAGTATAAACAGGGACCGCATCAATATGTCTGCTATCTACTGTAAGTGTATCTATTGATATGTTTATATTGAGTTGTCCAATTGAAAACAAATTGCTTTGGCGAAATAAATTGAACAAGTTGGAGAAGTTATTGGTACAACAAATACAAAAATGGTAATTTTCTAGCTTCAACAAATTGATCAAGAAAATGAAGAGAATGAGACTGATTCTTATTTATTTACAAATTTTGAAATTTCTTAGTGGCTTTTCATATTAATTCTGTAGTAGGTACTAATAGTCCAATTAAATAAGCCTTTAAATTGAAATTTTGGTCAACTTGCCTGAATTTTTGATATGAGTTTAGTTTGAGGTATATTATAACAATAAGTGGCGGTAATTATTTGTTCATCCCCCGGCCAAGGGTGAAAAAAGATAAAACAAAGAAGTTTTTCAAGATAACTCAAAAGGGGCTAGGGCTAGAAAAAAAAGTTGTAAAGCATACAATTCTACATAAAAATGTCTTCTTGACTTTTTCTTGTACTATTAAAATTAATAGAGTTAGGGAGGCTCGAAGTTAAGGGAAGATTTCAGAAATTTAAAAAAATCATAACAAGCAGAAAAACTAATGAATTTTGTATTTTTTTTCAATCTACTCTAAAAAATGTAAAGAGACACGTATTTTTTTAATTGGCGGAAAAACATATTCACGGGGTGAAATACACCCTCAAAGTTCGCCCCCGCAAAACAGTTTTTTCAAAATTTCCGGGGTTCTAATTTTGAAATGAAACAAAATGGAAATTACTTATGATAAAAACAAATATTTCGCAAGTGATTCCGTGTTTGGGGGTTGCTACCCTTATTTTTTATTTCAGAAAAATTATATTTTTTATTTATAAAAAAATCATATTTACTCAAAAAGAATTAAAAATATGATTTATGTAAACAAATTGACAAAATTAAATTGACCTGTTTCGAGGTTAAAATCTATATTTAGGGGGGTGAACAACAAATTGAAATTGTTATAACTTTCTTATTAAAAATTAAAAAATATATCTATTTCTCTGAAAAGAAAGGTTACATTTTTTAGAGTAGATCGAAAAAAAAATTACAAAATTCATTCATTTTTCTGCTTATGATTTTTTTAAATTTCTGAAATCTTCCCTTAACTTCTAGCCTCCCTAACTCTGTTAATTTTAATAATACAAGAAAAAGTCAAGAGGC